GGGTCTTTTCCAATAAGTCAGTTTCTCACATCAGGTGACCAAAGTATTGGAGCTTCAGCTTAAGCATCAGTCCTTCCAATGAATATTTAGGGTTGATTTCCTTTAGGATTGACTGGTTTGATCTCCTTGCAGTCCAAGGGACTCTCAAGAGTCTTCTCTAGCACCACAGTTCAAAACCATCAATTCTTAGGCACTCTGCCTTCTTTATGGTCCAACTCTCACATCCATACATGATTGTTGGACAGTCCATAGCTTTGGCTATATGGATCTTTGTCGGCAAAGTGATGTCTCTGCTTTTTAATGTCCTGTCTAGGTTTGTTATAACTTTTCTTCCAAGGAGCAAGCGTCTTTTAAGTTCGTGAGTGCAGTCACTGTCACAGTGATTTTGGAGACCAAGAAAATAAAGTACATCACTGTTTCCCCATCTATTTGCCATGAAGTGATGGGACTGGATGCCATGATCTTCATTTTTTGAATGTTTTCCTGTATAATAGGACCTTGTTGTTTAGATATACTCTAAAGCATATATAATAAACTCACAATAAACTGTGGAAAATTCTGAAAGAGACGGGAGTACCAGACCACCTGACCTGCCTCTTGAGAAACCTGTATGCAGGTCAGGAAGCAACAGTTAGAACTGGACATGGAACAACAGACTGGTTCTAAATAGGAAAAGGAGTACGTCAAGTCTGTATAGTGTCACCCTGCTATTTAACTTCTGTGCAGAGTACATCATGAGAAACGCTGGGCTGGAAGAAGCACAAGCTGGAATCAAGATTGCCGGGAGAAATATCAATAACTTCAGATGTGCAGATGACACCACCCTTATGGCAGAAAGTGAAGAGGAACTAAAAAGCCTCTTGATGAAAGTGAAAGAGGAGAGTGAAAAAGTTGGCTTAAAGCTCAACATTCAGAAAACTAAGATCATGGCATCTGGTCCTATCACTTCATGGGAAATAGAAGGGGAGAGAGTGGAAACGGTGTCAGACTTTATTTTTTTGGGCTCCAAAATCACTGCAGATGGTGACTGCAGCCATGAAATTAAAAGACGCTTACTCCTTGGAAGGAAAGTTAGGGCCAACCTAGATAGCATATTAGAAAGCAGAGACATTACTTTGCCAACAGAGGTCCGTCTGGTCAAGGCTGTAGTTTTTCCAGTGGTCATGTATGGATGTGAGAGTTGGACTGTGAGGAAAGCTGAGCACTGTAGAATTGATGCTTTTGAACTGTGGTGTTGAAGAAGACTCTTCAGAGTTCCTTGGGCTGCAAGGAGATCCAACCAGTCCATCTTAAAGGAGATCAGTCCTGGATGTTCATTGAAAGAACTGATGCTGAAGCTGAAACTCCAATACTTTGGCCACCTCATGCAAAGAGTTGAGTCATTGAAAAAGACCCTAAGGCTGGGAGGGATTGGGGGCAGGAGGAGAAGGTTATGACAGAGGATGAGATGGCTGGATGGCATCACCGACTCGATGGACATGGGTTTGGGTATACTCCAGGAGTTGGTGATGGATAGGGAGGCCTGGCGTGCTGTGATTCATGGGGTTGCAGAGAGTCAGACACGACTGAGTGACTGAACTGAACTGAAAGCATACATAAGAGCAGGTATATTAAACAGAACTGAAGGTGAAACAAACATTTACAATTTGTTGCCAATGGTGATTACTTTGTGTAATAACACACTAATGTGTGTTGAGGATGAAGGTCACAATTCATACATAAATCCATATTTTGAATATTCTTCGTGAGAGTTTGAATTATTTTTGGCTGATTTCATTTTGATCTGACTAGGCAATCATTTTTTTTAACCTCGTGAGAAGCTGTTGAAGAGGAGAGGGTCCAGTCTATCATTTTCCTGTACTTGTTTCATCAGTATTGTCTCCAGGCTGTGGTTTTGTTATGAGGGAACATTCTTAAGCCCCATGTCCACCTAGTGATGGTTAGCTTAGTAAAACTAGATACTTTGCTTGCACATCCCTTTGGGGGTGTATATAACTATAGCACAGGCGATGTACCCTAAAGATGATTCCATTTCCAAGGTTGGCACCTAGGTCCAAGGTTCTTGATTCTCACCATCTGCCTTGGTTTTTCCAGTTGGGGGTTCCGGCTTCTTTTTTTAAGAAAAATATTTCTTATTTTTAATGACTAAAGACCATACACAGAAGTTGTCATATTTCCTCCCCCACCCGCCAAACTGTATTAGGCATTCCCCGAGTGAGTGGACCACACCTTGAAGACACCTTGTTCAGGATACAGAGGTCCTAAGAATCCCTGTCCCCATCCCTGCTCTGGGAAGGGCTGCCTTGGGGAAAAGTATCCTTGGCTTTCTGGTGAATTTCATGAATTTTGGCACTCAGCAGGAGCCAGGGAATCTGCCAATGGCAGTGCTGACCGAATTCACAGAGAACCACCCTGATCATTTACTTTGCTATCCTCTTGAAAGTTCAAATATTTTGAAATTTTGAAGAGAAATCTTTAGAGAATGTGATGAGAGCTATGGCCTCTTTTTTTTTTTTTTACTTGATAGTGTCTCATTCTGCCTTCTTTATTTATTTTTATTTGCTTATTTTACTATTTTGGCTGCAGTGGGTCTTTATTGTGGTGTGCAGGCCCTTTGTTGTAGACTGTGGGCTTCACTAGCTGTGGTGCGGGCTTAGTTGGAAGATCTTAGTTTCCAGACCAGGGATCAAGCCCTGTATTGGAAGGCAAATTCTTAACCACTGGATGGCCAGAGAAATCCCACACTATGGCTTATTGTTCAGGAAAAATGCACAAATAAAATTTCTGTTCAATTCTAGAGGAGATCAGAAATCCTCTGAAGTTCAGTAAAGAACCTATGTATTTATTTATTTTTATTTTAATATATTTCTTAAAACTTTTTTTAACTGGAGGATAATTGCTTTACAATGTGTTACTTTCTACCATTCATCAACATGAATCAGCATAGGGCAGCTTCTCATTAGCTATTGTGTTACATATGGTAACGTGTATATCTCAACGCTGCTCTCTCAGTTCGTCGGACCGTCTCCTGCCCTCTCTGTGTCCATAAGTCTGTTCTCAATGTCTGGGTCTCTATTGCTGCCCTGCAAATAGGAAAGAACATGTTTAGAAGTGGAAAAATGGCAAATTAGGTTTGAGAAACATCTGTCTTGTTTTTCAAACATTCCTTTCCTGCAGCCCCTTTCAAGTTTCAGGTCCTGCTTACTGTGCAGGGTCCGGAGGAGCTTAAACAATGATTTCAAAGACATTCAGGTTTGTATCTTAGTCCCTCCACTGATTAGCTGGGTCAACTTGGGAGTGCACGTGTGCATGCTAAGTGCTTCAGTCATGTCCGACTCTTTGCTGCCTGATGGACTGTAGCCCGAGAGGGCAGCCTTTTAAAAAATATTTATTTATTTGGTTGTGCCACGTCTTATTTGCATCATGTGGGATCTAGTTTCCTGACCAGGGATCGAACCCAGGCCCCCTAAATTGGGAGCTTGAAATCTTAGCCACTGGACTACCAGGGAAGTCCCGTTGGGTAGTCTCTTTGTTCTGGAGAATGGGTATAGTAATCCACACCTTGTAACGCTCTCCCACTTGCTGGCTGCAGTTCAGCTTTATTAACCTTCTTGTCCCTCAGATCTGAGCTCTTTGATGCCTCAGGGTCTTTGCACTTGCTGACCCTTCTGCCTGGAATGTTCTTTCATCCTCTTTATGGCAATAACTCCTTCTCACTGTTCAGGGCTCAGCTCAGATGCCTCTTCAGGAGGGCTTTTCCTGATCAGCCAATCTGTCAGTTTATTTAGGATTTTTCTTTTTTTTAAAGTGTACAATGCAGTGGTTTGTAGTATTTTGAGAAAGTTGAGCAACCATCACCACTGTCTAATTCTAGAACATTTTCATCACCCTAAAAAGAAACCCCTCCCTCATTAGCAGTGAGTTCCCATTTCCCCTCCCACACCCCCAGTCCCTGGCAAGCACTAATCTGCTGTCTGTGTGGATTTTCCTATTCTGAGCATTTCAAGTAAATGGAATCAGTTCACCTCTCTGAGTCTTTGTTGACTCATCTGCAAAGAAGGAGTAATAACCCTCATGACCTGTTTATGTGCTGCCTAATTGAATTAAGGCATATCATGTGACTAGTATAGTGCCTGGCTTATGGGAAGTACTCAGTAAATGTTACTTACTGTTACTAATACTGGGCTGTAGCTGCACCTGAAGTGTTGGTATCTAGGGTTAGCAAGAGTACTATGCCGTGCTCAGTTGTGTCCAAGTCTTTGCAACCCCATGGACTGTAGCCCACCAGGCTCCTCTTTGTCCATGGGATTTCCCAAGGATATTGGAGTGGGTTGCCATTTTCCTTCTCCAGGGGATCGTCTTGACCCAGGGATCGAACCCACGTCTCTTGCATCTTCTGCATTGGCAAATATATTCTTTGCCACTAGCGCCACCTGGGAATAAACATTTTTTTTTTTTTATTATTAGGATTAGTTATAAAGGGTGACTAAACTTGTTAGGTGCAGACATATTACATATATTCATCATTTAATCCTTTCAATAACTCTACAAAGTGGGTAACACTGCTCTTACATCAGTAACATGAGAGGCGTATGAATTCTTCTGCAGGAGATCCTTATGTAATCTCTAATTGCAGTGATCTTATTTACTTATGTCTTTTCCCCCTCTACCCTAAGTAGAATGGCAGCTCCATGGAGAAAGGGGTCTTGTCTTTTGTTCATAAGCCCAAAGCCCTGGTAGCTTGGATGGTAAAGAATCCTCTGCCTGCAATGTGGGAGACCTGGGTTTGATCCCTGGGTTGGGAAGATCCCTTGGGGGAGGGAACAGCAGCCCACTCCAGTGTTCTTGCCTGGAGAATTCCATGGACAGAGGAGCCTGGTGGGCTACAGTTCATGGGGTCACGAGGAGTCAGACACGACTGAGCCACTTTCAAGTTTTCAGAATGAGTAGGTGCTAGTCATTGTTTTGAATGAATCAGTTTAAATTTTCTCTCCTTTCAGGGCCCTTGCAGACGTGATGAGGCCCCAGGGCCACTGCAACCCTGACCACATGGAGAGAGATCTCAACATTGTGGTTCACGTCCAGCATTATGAGAACATGGATACCAGAACCCCCATAAATAATCTTCGTAAGTATAGCTCTGCCATCCAGTTCCAGTCCCACTGGGTGACCCAAGCGGTGGTCACACTTCCAGATTTCATGGTGTGTGTTTGGGTCCATGAGGAGCTTCTCTTTGTTGACTAAAAAGATTTATTTTACCCCTTCTGGATCTAACTGTGGGTGGCATCCTCAGATTTCACTTTGTTTCTCCATTGAAAGAGTCATCCATGTGGTGGATTTTTCATGGTTGGTTCTTCTGTTAATAGACCACTTTGGAGGTTCATCTTGGTCATATGTTAACTAATAGCCCTCTTGACTGGTCATCATGGTTAGGTACTTAGCTAACCAAAGGATTACTTGGTTGGTTCATCCTAGATAGTACATCTGTTAGCCAATAACCTATTTTGTTGGTTCATCTTGATTGGGTAATCTGTTAACCAATGGTTCATTTGCTTATCTGTCTGCCTCCTGAGGTAGACCAGTTGTCACTTTTAGGTTTCATATGGCTTTCAGCTAGATACTGGTTCAGAAGAATTAGATTTATTTTTCATGAAACCAGAGTTTCATAAACATAATCCACAAACTCTGCGTGTTTGTGTGTGTGTGTGTGTGTGTGTGTCTGTGTGTGTACCTGTGCAGGTATGTGGGGGTTTTGAGTTGTGGTTATGTTAGTTTGGCTGTGTACCTATGATTCAACAGAACAAATTGTTCTGTTGTTCTCCCAGGGGAAAAAAGTTGCATTTGCTATTGTGTTTCAGTAGGTATTCTTTAGCTGACAGAGCATACCTGGGAATCTTAGCGTGGTCCCAAAGATTTTCTTTCCTTTCAAAGGTCAGTATATACAATATATACTATGGAGCTGTGTACTGACTATAGGCAGTGGGGAAAAACAAGATTATTTTGTTTTTGACAGTAGTGTACTATCATGGTTATTCCTAGCAATTATGTTTTCAAGTAAGCCCCATATTAAAGTAATGTGTAAGGCTTGGTTTAAAATATTAAAACCCAGAAAATTTAAAGGGTGCATTTAGTTGTGGCTGGAGGTTTTTTAAAAACGGAAACAGTTCTGGCATTTTTGCACGTTTTTCTAGTCTGGGTCACCTTTGCTAAAGCTCCACCAGAAATAGCATTGGTGTTTTATTTGCTGAATCATAATTTTGCACTGTTTGGTTGCAAATTTTCATGCTCAATGGGTAGAGGAATAAGTCTATGGAATTTGACATTAGTGATGCAAATTATCTGATTCTGCATGGTGATAATTGTTCATGGCCTTGGAAGTGTTGCAGTATGTTTGCAAAGTTGATGTGTACGTGGTTTGAAATGGGTTACAAAGTAGAAAGTCTTAAGTTCCGTTCTATTAAATAACTTGACATTATTTATTTATGAACTGGATCATAAAAATGATATGAGAAATAGCTACATGTTAGAGAAAAATACACCAGTCATCGGAAGTCTTATGACCAAATCTCACAGCCCCGAAAGGCATGGTGAATTGCGCCAACTCTGATATAGCAATGGTTGTATCCAATTCTGGTTTTGATGGAAATGAGCACATTCTCTTTCAGAATGCAGTGGAAAATAAGTTGAACCTAGGTGTATGTGAGTCCTAAATATCATAAGTGAGTGAATATGACCATGAAGTAGAGAAAGCTGAAATGGTGTTGAGTCCCTGGCTATGAAAAGGTGGCTGTTGAAAGTTTCTCATTTGAAGTTTCAATTTCTAGGATGATTTTGAATCAGCTCTTGAGTGGAATAGCAAACTCATTGAAGTCACTCAAATTACACCACTCCGTCAGGCAAAAGGGCAGGCAACATTAATGAATCTTGCTTTAGTAAGGGATTTTTGTTTAAAGTTGCACTGAAAATAAATTGTGGTTCAGAGATGGGTCTCTAGGTACTGAGCATTTCAGAAGTCTCCTGTGACAGACTAACTTGGTTTATTTATGAGTCTTGCTTTTAGTCTATATTTGTGTTTCAGTAATCAGTGATCCAAGGAAAAAAAAATGTGTCTTGTAAGAATTTATTGGATAGAATTTCACTAGAGCTTTCCTGACAAACTGCAGGGGAGAATTCTAGGTACAATGTCACAAACACTGCATTCTCCTAGGAATTACCACAGATATTAATTTTATGTAATTCTGCTAGGTAGTATTTTTGGGAATATTGGGAAAATAAGAGCATATAGCTTTTCTACGGGTTTACATTAATGAGTTTAATTTAAATAACAAATTACTTCAGTAGTTGGTAGTGATAATATTTACTTGTAATGAAGTGTTTGTCTTTTATTGATTTACAGGAGCTCTTTACATATTATGGACACGGGGGGAAAATCACGTGTTCAAAAGAAACAATGATTTGTGGAGTTCATTGAGAAGAAAAGAACTAGGTGACTGACATTATCAGTATTTAAAGATTCAAGAAGCCACACAGTCTCCAGAGCCCACTGACTAATAGAGAACTAGGAGAGAAGGAATCTTGTCTGAAAATCAGAAACTTAGACCAGCTCTTGGTGCCAGAATTAGAATGCCACTACTGAATATAATGTCATAGGAAATGGTAACATAATCTAATATTCTTGCCTGGAAAATTCCATGCACAGAGGAGCCTGGTGGGCTACAGTCCATGGGGTCACAAAGAGTCTGAGCATGCAATGAATGTAAATGGGAGCTACAAATATTTACCATTACAAAAAGTGGAAAGATGCATCTATTTGTGATACAACAAGAAGGGGCACATTGTGCCATTTTTAGGGTGTTCCTCACTTGAATATTTATTCAAGTTGTGAGATTTGATTGAAGTTCCAACTTAAATGTTATTTTTATCTCTGTTTGGTGACCCACTTGACATTGCTTTAAGAGAATAATCATCTTCTCCTCTTGATACTAACACTAGATCACTTTTTGCTCTTTTCCTTATGCTTTGTTCAAACACTAAGAGAACCCGCAGTCAGTCTAGAAACCTGGATATTTGGAAGGAGAGGAGTCGGGAAGGACTAGAGTGAAGGCAAATAGGGAGGAAAAGGCTTCAATATTGGGAAATTTTTTTGCCAACTTTTATCAGTTTCCTATGGTTTATTTTTCCTGTGATATAGGCAGGACTTGCCTTTTTTTATCTTCAGCAGATGCTGTTCAGGGTCTTTTCAGGCATTCAGTGTTATTGCCTAAAAATATTTAGTCTGATAATCAAAAGGGCTTGGACCTCTTTGATTAACAGGATGTAGATTCAGATGAGAGAGTGATTTTCTGCAAAAGCTCCTCGGCTTCTGCGTAATTACAGTTTGCTTTTGAAGGCGCATTTTGTTCTCAAGTACTGTGAACGTGTGCTGTCTCCCCCACCCCAGCCGCCCTGCTTGCCAGTGACACCCCCCAACCCCACCTTCTGAGAGTCCAGGGTAAATATAGGCTTCTTTTAGTGTCAAGATTGTGAGATTTGAGTGAGGGACTGTGAGGACAAAATACAACCTAGATCAACATTTCTCGACTTGTTTGTGTTAAAAGCACACTTCTTTTGAAATAAAGTTTTAATTTGGGAATAATTTTATATTTATAGAAAAGTGGCAAAGGTGCTAGACAGAGTTCTGGGTACCCCTCACCCACTTGCCCCTCATATTAACATCTTACATGACTATGGTACACCATAGTCCTATATCAAAACTAAGAAGTCAACATTCGTACATTATTTTTAGCCAAGTGATAGGTATTGTTTGAATCTCACTAGTTTCTTCTCTGATGTCCCTTTTCTGCTCCAGGATCCAATCCAGAATACTATGTTATAGTTATTGCAGCTGACTTGATAGCAGAATTTTGGTTGTGCAGTATTGTTTAACGATGTGGTAAAGGTTGGAAACAACATGAAATAAGTCAGTGGCAATTACAAAGTCTTTATTGCCACTGTATAAAAAGTGTTGCCCAGTGTCTATGAAAACCTCCTGTTAAGTTATGCACCTGCTCAGTGTTGGAATGGAACCAGCTGATGTCCTGACTGTGCTCTCATATCTATTCAGTGGGCAAAGGGCCCTCACATTCCATACAAACATACAACTCCACTTTTGAATGGAGTCAGTGTTGTAGTATTTATTTCACGGGCATAATCTGAGCAACTGAGATCTCACCCCAAACTCTGGTGAATGCTGACTTGCTATTTCAGGGCATGGAACTCATCAGAAAGACCAGATTCTTATTCCAGTTTCTATTCCCACCCTGTCCTCCCCCAGGACCATTTCCAAGCAGTGGAAGGACTAGAGTGAAGGCAAATAGGGAGGAAAAGGCTTCAATATTGGGAAATTTTTTTGCCAACTTTTATCAGTTTCCTATGGTTTATTTTTCCTGTGATATAGGCAGGACTTGCCTTTTTTTATCTTCAGCAGATGCTGTTCAGGGTCTTTTCAGGCATTCAGTGTTATTGCCTAAAAATATTTAGTCTGATAATCAAAAGGGCTTGGACCTCTTTGATTAACAGGATGTAGATTCAGATGAGAGAGTGATTTTCTGCAAAAGCTCCTCGGCTTCTGCGTAATTACAGTTTGCTTTTGAAGGCGCATTTTGTTCTCAAGTACTGTGAACGTGTGCTGTCTCCCCCACCCCAGCCGCCCTGCTTGCCAGTGACACCCCCCAACCCCACCTTCTGAGAGTCCAGGGTAAATATAGGCTTCTTTTAGTGTCAAGATTGTGAGATTTGAGTGAGGGACTGTGGGGACAAAATACAACCTAGATCAACATTTCTCGACTTGTTTGTGTTAAAAGCACACTTCTTTTGAAATAAAGTTTTAATTTGGGAATAATTTTATATTTATAGAAAAGTGGCAAAGGTGCTAGACAGAGTTCTGGGTACCCCTCACCCACTTGCCCCTCATATTAACATCTTACATGACTATGGTACACCATAGTCCTATGTCAAAACTAAGAAGTCAACATTCGTACATTATTTTTAGCCAAGTGATAGGTATTGTTTGAATCTCACTAGTTTCTTCTCTGATGTCCCTTTTCTGCTCCAGGATCCAATCCAGAATACTATGTTATAGTTATTGCA